CAGAGCCCAGCAGGTCGAGGCTGCGGTGGCCAGGAATGGCCACTGCACTCCAGTCTGGGCAACAGAGTGAGAGTCCAACTCAAATTAAAAAAAAGAATGTGAAGGGCTGAGAGCTCAGATCTTGGGGCCTGCCTGGCTGAAGTCATCGCGTGCCACCCCTGAGCTGCTCCTGGGTGCTGAGAGGGAGCAGAGCACCCCCAGACACCGTCCCTGTCCCTGTCTTGGGGAGTCATCCATCTTTTGTGACTTTGTCCCCCACCCCTTACCTCTGAGAATATTGAGGGTCTCTGGCTGTGTTTGGAGGCTCTGGAAGTTTGCTCCTCTATGCCTGTGATGCTGGGATGTTTGTGGGACTCCAGATTTGGGGGCTGGTCCCTGAACCCTACACTGTCTAGAGTGGGACAGCAGTAGCCCAGCTGGGGGTAGTATGGGTGGCCTCTCAGCTTGGGATGGGGTGCCGGGAACTGCCAGGACAGGAGCGGGGACAGGCGGGGGGGGAGAGAGAAGCTCTCGGAAGAAGCCAATGCAAGAAGCAGTGCTGGTGGTTTATTGCGACAGATGTGGCCCATGGACCTGAAGTGCCCTCCACCGTGGTCCCAATCTCAATGGCCCCACCTTCAGGGGCTCATCACATCTGCACACAGTTGTGCTTTAGAAGCTGAGTGGAATTCTCCCAGGGAACCACTAGTATCTCAAAGTCACAACGCAGGTTCTGTGGAGAGAGCACGAGGTGGAAGGAGGGGTGAATACAGTCCTGGCCTGCCTCCCCCCAGCGGCCAGCCAGCCTTCTGCCTGTCACACTGCTCCGGGGCGATACAGGGGCAGCCACTGGCCCAAGGGGTATCTAGTCAGATGGCCGTGGCCAGATCCCAGATCTTGGTAGCCCAACACCCCTCTCCCTGGGAAGCCCCAGCTTCCTTCTTGCATCCCAACCTCGCGGGAAGCTGAGTCACCAGGAAGGCTGGACAGGTTCAGTCAGACAACTGCCTGGCCAGCCAGACTAGTTCAGGCTGGACCACCTGAGAGCCTGAGGTGCAGAAGGTTGGGGCTGGGGGTGCCAGGCTGTTACCTCCTGCTGCGATCCTGCGGCCAAGGGGCAGGTGGTGAGGTCGACGTCTCCAGCAACCCTGTTCTTGCGGCAGTCTGTGCTCCCCATGTCCACCGTCAAATAGTACTTGATGCCAGCCACCAGCTGGAGAAGGAGGGCAGGGGCAGGTCAAAGCTTCCCGGGAGACAGCCCCTTGACCCCCTCCGCATTCTCCCATTGCCCCCCGGGCATGCTCAGCACTCTGGCCTGGGTGGGAATTCAGACCTGGCACAGGGCTGGGAGAGGAGTTCTGGTGAAGAGCCCAGGGGGAGAGGCTTGGACTGTGTAAGAGGCCAAGACTCATCTGTGCACATATTCCCGAAGCTGGGTAGACACGCCACCGGAACTCTCACCGTCCCCATCTGCCTCCTCCCTTCCCCAATCCTCCTCAATCCACCCCATCAGGGCAGGGACTGGTAGAGGCAAGGCAACCCACCAAGTGGGTTGTCCAATACAGGGTTGCGTCCTATCTTTGACATTTAGATAGTTTGTCCATCGTGGATTTTGTGCACTAATTTGATTTTTTGTTTTTTCGAGTTGGAGTCTCATGTCATCACCCAGGCTGGAGTGCAGTGGCACATTCACGGCCACCCCAGCCTCTACTTGCTGGGCTCTGGTGATCCTTCCACCTCAGCCTTTCAAGTAGCCGGAGTTACAGGCACACACTACCACGCCCGGCTAATTTTTGATTTATTGTAGAGATGAGGTTTCGCCAAGTTGCCTCGAACCTGGGCTCAGGCGATCCACTCACCTCCGCCTCCCAAAGTGCTGGGATGACAGGCTGAGCCACCGAGCCCAGCCACTAATTCGATCTTTAAAACACTGTATGAGCCTGGTGTGGTGGCCCACACCTATCATACCCACGCTTTGGGAGGTCTAAGTGGGAGGATCACGTGAGGCCAGGAGTTCAAGACCAGCCTGGGCCACATAGTGAGACTCCCCCCGCTGCCCCGCTGTCTGCTACTCTATGAAAGTAGCATCACTACTGCCCTTCTGGCTCCCCCTTTGCCTGGGCCCGCAGCGTCTCTCTGACCTCACCCGCCCCGCCCTGGTCCGCCCCGGCCCGCGTCCGTGGCCCGCCGCACCTGTCTGTGCGCCGAGATGACGTGCGTGTCTCGGAAGTAGTAGAGGCTGTTGCTGCCCATGTTGTAGCTGGCCACGGCCGCCTGCGCCGCCTTCTTCACCTGCGGGTCATCGAGCGACAGGTTCTGGATCTCTCCGACCTTGTGCTCCGGCGGCCGGGCCCGGGCGTCGCGGGCCAGCGCCAGAAGGCAGAGCGCGACCAGGGCCAAGCCCAGAGTCAGCAAGGGGGTCGGACGCGCCATGGCCGTCTGTGCCCAGCCCGTGGCCCGCGCCGCTTTTACAGGCTCCGAAGCCCCGCCCCCCGCCCTCGAGGCGCCCCCGCCGAGCTGGGGCGGGGCTCGAGGTGGCCCAGAAGTCGCCCCCGCCAGTCCCGAGAGGCCCGGGAGATCCCCTGGGGGGCCGAGGGGGCGGCGCGGGGGCCGGGGACCTCCACATGCCACGAGGCTGCCCTGCCCTCCGGGACACGAGGGGGCCGGGGGAGGATGGCGATGGTCCCCAGCAACAAATGCCACTCTAGGGACGGTCCACGGGAGTGCTGTCTGGTGTGAACCCCAAGAGCAGCTATTAGCGAGCTCTCACTGTTGCTACCGTTTTTTAGCTGTGCACATTTGGGAAGTCACTTAACCGCCCACTGCCTCAGTTTCCCAGTCTGTAAAATGGATATTGGAAGGATTGCGAACGGATGTAGGTCAGAGGATGCTGTATAAACAACAGGTAAGGGGGAGCCCCTACCGCTCAGCCTGTTTAACTCACAAACAGCACAAGGTGGGATTTTTTTTTATTTTTGAGTCGGACTCTCACTTCATCTCCCAGGCTGGAGTGCAGTGGTACACTCACGGCCACCCCAGCATCGACTTGCTGGGCTCCAGTGATTCTTCTGCCTCAGGCTTCCAAGTAGCCGGCACTATAAGCGTGCACTACCATCCCCGGCTAATTTTTCTTTATTTATTGTAGAGATGAGCTCTCACCTAGTTGCCCACGCTGGTCTCCAACCCGTGGGCTCAGGCAGTCCTCTCACCTCAGTCTCCCAAAGTGCTGGGATTACAGGCTTGAGCCACCCAAAGTGAGATTTTTTTTTTTTTTTTTTTTTTGAGTTAGAGTCTCACTCTGTCGCCCGGACTGGAGTGCAGTGGCCGCTCCTGGCCACCGCAGCCTCGACCTGCTGGGCTCCGGCGATCCTTCCGCCTCAGCCTTCCGAGTAGCAGGAACTACAGGCATGCGCTACCATGCCCGGCTGATTTTTTTTTTTTTTTTTATTGTAGAGATGAAGTCTCGCTGCCCAGGCGGGTCTCAAACCCTCGGGCTCAGGCAATCCACTCACCTCAGCCTCCCAAAGGCGCAGGATTACAGGCTGAGCCCGGCTCAAAGTGAGATTATTAACGTTTCCACTTTACAGAGGAGGAAACACAGAAGGGTTGATTTGCCCAAGGACCCCAGCTGGTACATAGTAAGTGGTGACACTGGTTTTGAGCCCTGGCAGTCTAAGTCAATTCAGTAATCTTAAACCAAACTGAGTCCAAATAAGAACCAGTCAGAGGAGGGGGTGTCCTTGTCCTCCCAGCTCTGCCATCTTACTGACTGACTTTGGGCAAGGCCCTCAGTCTCCCTGATCCTCACGGTCCTCATCTGAAAGAAGGCAACAATCCTTATCTCCTAGTGTTGTTCTTACATCGATGGCTCGAGCCTGGGTCCTCTGGAGATACAGTGAGCCCAGGAGTTCAGTATCAGCAAACCAGGGGTCTCATGACTTTTTTGAAAGAATCCAATAATTAATATGTAAAAAACGGCACTGGGGTAGTCATCATAGGAAAGTCTGGATTTTGTGGGGATTCTCTCTCTGCGTTTTGGAGTTTAGTGCAATTTGTACTTTAAACCACATGTTGCTGGGGGCCAGGGGCTGCTTTTCTTGGGACACTTGTCAGTGCTGAGAGCCTCTAAGACTTAGAAGAGGTCCTAGTCAGCAGTAGCTGACAAACAGTTGGTGCTTCATAAGTGGAAGCGATTTCTGTGATGAATATTGTAAGAAGGCATCCAGCATATCACCACTCCCCATTCTGGGCCCCTCAGAATCCCAGGGGAAGTGATTTCTCACATGGAGACCTAGACCAGGTGGGTCACTGCCCAGTCCAGCTTTGAGCCAGCTGCCTCACCCCCTTCAGCCCAGCTGTGAAAAACAAACTCTGCCACCACCACCCCCTCCCCCATTCCAAGGAAGGATCACAAGCTGGTTGCTGGCTCAGGTGTCTGCCTTAAAGGGACAGACTCCAGTTTGTGGGAGTGCTGGCCTGGCGGAGCATGATGTGATGAGCAGGGTAAGTCCCAGCAGGGACCCTGAGCTGAGTAAGCCCGGGAGTGGGTCGGGTAGGAGGCTAGGATGGCAAGGGGGAGGTGGAGAGGCAGACCCAAGGGGCCCCCAGTTCTGCCTTCCTGTCACTTGGAGCTCAGTCACACATACCTCCAAAAGCTCCCTGGAAAACTAGCCAAGGCCTGTCTTTGACTGACTCACCAAGGGCCAATGGGTCCCCAGCTCAGTGGCAGTTACCCCAGCCGTCCCTGCTTTGTACTGATACCAGTCTTTTGCACCACAACTTAACAATTTCCAAGGACCTTTTACGCACTGATTATTTCTTTTTTTTTTGAGTTGGAGTCTCACTCTGTCACCCAGGCTGGAGTGCAGTGGCCACTCCCGGTCACTGCAGCCTCAACCTGCTGGGCTCTGGCAATCCTTCTGCCTCAGCCTTCCAAGTAGCAGGAACTACAGGTGCGCGCTACCACACCCGGCTAATTTTTTTGATTTATTGTAGAGATAAGGTCTTGCCTGCCCAGGCGGGTCTCGAACCCGTGGACTCAGGCAATCCACTCACCTCAGTCTCCCAAAGGCGTGGGATTACAGGCTGAGCCACTGAGCCCGGCCAACTGATTATTTCTTACAGGCACCCTGAGGAAGTACATTATCTTTGGTTTGTGCTTGAAAAAATTAATCAGACATTGAAAAAATTAGTCAGAGGTCGGTATACTTGCCTAAGGTAACGCAGCTAGAAGTGGTATCTTGGTGAGAAAAGAGAGAGGGGAAGGGAAATTAACAATTACCAGGCTCTTGTTGTGTGCCAAGCCTTGCCCCAGGGATTCTAGGTGTTCTTCCGTTCTCTTAACAGCTCTGCAGAAGCAGTGATTGTTACCTCTTTCTACAAGGAGGAAAGGAGATGTCAAAGGGAAAGCGTCAGTGGTGGGGCCTGGAGTGGCATCCTCATGCCAGCAGTGTTCTGGTTTGTGTCCTGGGCTGCTGCTCTACAGGGATATGAGGTCTGCTATGTGTGTGTTTGGGGGTGGGGGCTGCTCCCTGGGGGTGGGATGCCCCTACGGGGACTTTTCCAGAGCCTGAACTCCATCCTGTCTGGACCACTCTGGCTTCTAGAAAGAGGCTTGGGCCAAGCACAAGCTTGAGGTTGGCCATCCCCTCTGGCCACAGGGCAGCTTCCAGTTTTGCTGTGGCCCGGACACCCTCACCCAGGTTGCCCACAGCACCCCTCTCTTGCCACTGGCCCGACGGGTCTTGACGACAGGGAAGGCCCCTGGTGTCTCCTTCCTCCTGGGGTTAGGCCCTCCACAGCCTTCCTACTGTCCCAGAATCTTCTTTCTTGAGCCTTCAGCTGGGCAAGGAGACTCCTCCCCACAGGGTTCTGCTTCCCTTTCCCTGGCACCCCACATTCTGAGGAGGAGACCTTATGGCAAGGAAACCTGCGATCACAGGGGTTAAAGATCCCCTCTGGAGTTCCCTCAAGTGTCAGGGATCCATGGGCTGAACCCTCACAACCCTGCACTGGCTGATACAGGGCACCGCAGCTCTGAGCCACTCGTTCCAGACCACAGAAGACCCAGAACAGAGCCTGGCTGGCCCATCAAGGCTGCCATCCATCAAGGCGAGGAGTGACAGTAGAGACAGGCCTGGTCCCTGCAGAGAGGGGCCGCTTGGGAGGGGGTCAGCAGTCACGACCACCTACTGGGAACCTTCCACACCATCTGGGTTGCCACTGAACCAGGTGGGGAAGGTGTCAGGCTGCGTTGGTCCAAGCGGCCTCCTTTTACTTTCTTTCCAGGGGCAGCAGAAGTCCCTTAGGACCCCGGAGCATGTGGGTTCACCCCAAGCTCTAGGCTGGCTCTGAGCACTCATGACAATACCTGCTGAGGGGCTCAAGCCCTGGCTGGGTGCGCTGAGGTTGGAGGAGCACTGGGTGAGTTATTTGCTGATTTCTGGCCAGCCATGCCCCCATTGAGTGGGTGGCCAGGCACATCCTGTTGGACACTGTGGGCTGACACTTAGATGACCTGACTCCCTCCCGTCGCCACCCAGGTCTCCTCTCTGCTCCAGCATTTCAGGCCTTGGTCCCTTTGTCCTGCCACTGCATTGGGGCTGGATCTGAGAGGCCACACTGTCACATGGCACATTCTCGATGCCCTAGAAGGGATCCGGGAACTTGTGTAGGATGCAACACAGAGCCCAGATAAAGGGTCTATGGCAGGCCAATCTGTCACAGGCACTGCCTGAGCCCCAAGGTAGGGTGAGAAAGTAGGTTCCAGCCCCTTCTGAGACACAGTCTGTGGGCGAGTCAGGGAAAGGCAAATGATGAGGAAACAAAGCAGGGCTCCGCCAGGGTCCCTCTGCTAGAACCGGGGAGGAAAAATCAGGCAACCAGCACGGGTAGGAGCCAGGAAGGGCTTCGTGGAGGAGGAGGGAGTTTCCGTCACTCACAGCATGCCAGCAACAACCTGGCAGGATCAGGACTGGCGTGGGAGGCCAGAGCCCTGCCACACCCTCACCTGAGCACACCAGGCCTGAGGGACAGCATCACAGCATGAGGGTCAAGGCTCTGAGTGACCAATTCCCGGATGGAGTGACCCATCTAGGAAAGCATCAGAAACACAGGACAGTCTGAAACTCCAGGGAGACTTGTTACCGCCTCGGTCTCAGCTTCAGACTAGTACTTTCTGGGCTTCAGACTAGTGCCTGTTGTACAAGCTGGACCCTGCTGTGGCTACTGGGTATCCCTTCCAGGGTGGGCCACTTACACTTCCCAGACCCAGCCTTGCACTGAACCCTCATCCCTACTAATAACAGTTTGACTTATCACACAGCTGCTCCATTCCCAGTATTCTCGGTTTCCCTTTTATCCTATTATTCTGAGATGTAGCTAATAATAGAGAAGGGCATAGTACATGTCCAGCTTAATAAACATTTAGCATCAATGCCTGCATTACTGTTCCACAGGTCAGAATACAACTGCCACTTCCACCCCTAAGCCTTCCACCCTCACGCCTTCCTCCCTGAGACAACCACTATAGACTTTTTTCCTTCAGTTTCTTACAATGTTCATGTCTTTCCTTTTCTGTCTCATTTCATTTTACCATCTCCCCAGGAACCCCTAAACCTTATGTAAGTGGAATCCCACCATTTTGCTTTGTTCCTTTGGCTCAATCCTGAGATTCACCTGTCGCACATAGCTGACCCAAGGCATGAGGGGATCATCACTAATCTCTGGCAGTGACAGCCATTAGAGTTGTTCCCAGTGGGGGGCTGCTGTCAACAATGCAGCTGGGAACGTTCACATGTCCTAGTGTAGGTGTTTGGGAGTTTCTTTAAGGAAGTCCTAAGAGTGGAACTGCTGGGTCACAGGGTGTGTCCATTTTATTAAATAACACCCAACTGTTTTCCTAAAGCGTTCATACCAATTTACACTCCTACCCACTGGATATCAGTTCTTGTTGCTCCATTTGCCATCAATACATGGTATTGTCCAACTTAAAACTTTTTGCCAATTGGGTGGGTGTTAATGGCATTTACATTTCTGATGACTAGCTATAGAACAGTTTTCCACGTGCTTATTGGCTATCAGGGTATCTTCTTTTATGACTGCCTTTTAGGGCTTTTACCTACTTTTCTATGGTCTTTTTCTTGCCTGCACTTCGTATGTGCTCTGGATGTGGTCCTTTGTTGATTGTATCATTGTAAATATCCTTTCCTCATCTGAGTTTGTCTCTTCACTTTTTTTATGACTCGCTGAGCCAAACTCTTCACAATCTTTATGCTATCTTTAGATGAACAGAAGTTTCTAATATTAATTGAAATTTGTCAACTCTCTTTTCTCAAGACATCATGAAAACCTGCTCCTGTTATCCTCAATTTTTTTTAGATTAAAAATATAATTTAAAAGTAAATTAGAAACCCGGCTCGGTGGCTCAGCCTGTAATCCCAGCGCTTTGGGAGGCTGAGGTGAGTGGACTGCCTGAACCCGCGGGTTCAAGACCCACCTGGGCAACTTGGCAAGACCTCATCTCTACAATAATTCAAAAAAATTAGCCGGATGTGGTAGCGCACGCCTGTAGTTCCAGCTACTTGGAAGGCTAAGGCGGAAGGATCACCGGAGCCCAGCGAGTTGAGGCTGCGGTGGCTGGGAGCGGCCACTGCACTCCAACCTGGGCGACAGAGTGAGACTCCAACTCAAAAAAAAAAAGTAAATTGAGAGAGAAAGAGAAGGGAGAGAAGAGTCACCTCCTCAAGGTGGAGGAAGGGGCCAAAGCCAGGAAGCATGGTGACAGCCACAGCTCAAAGAGTACATGGTCACACCAGTCTAGCAAGGCAATTTTTTTTTTTAAAGACAGCATCTTGCTCGGGTGTCCAGGATGGAGTACAGTGGTGCAATCATAGCTCATTGCAGCCTCCAACTACTGGACTTAGATTCTCCCACTAGGAAGGCTGAGGTGTAAGGATTGCCAGAGCACAGCAGGTCAACACTGGGGTGACCGTGAGTGTACCACCACACTCTAGCCCAGGCGACAGAGTGAGACTCCAACTCCAAAAAGAAAAAAAGATTCTCCTGCCTCAGCCTCCTGAGTAGCTGGGACTACAGGTGTGCACCATCATGCGTGGGTAATTTTTAAATTTTTTGTAGAGACAAGTTTTGCTATGTTGCCCAGGCTGATCTTGAACTTCTGGCCTCAAGCGATCCTCCTGCCACAGCCTCCCATAGTGCTGGAATTACAGGTGTCAGCCACTGCACCCAGCCCATATTATCCTAACTTTTGTATTTTAATAGCTCTCACTCTCCCCTCACCAAATGGTAAAACTTAAAAAAGAAAATTCTCTTTTGCTTATACTGTAAGAAGTTGCTCCTTAATGATGTTCTACTTAAGGAATAAATGTGAAACAAGGATGGGTGGCTCACAGCTAGCATTTCAACTGGTTGCTACAACCACCTCATTTTCCAAGTGGGGAAAGTGAGGCTCAGAGAGGCCGAGTGACATGGCCAAGAAAACCAGGGACCATGAGTTCCAGTCTTGCTACTTCCCAGCAGCAATTCCACAGGCAAATTACTTAGCTTCTCTGAGTCCTAAGTTTCCTCACCTGTAAAAGATATAACAATGGTTTGATATAGTGGAAAGAAAAAAAGGTTTGCAAAAATCTGAGGTTAAGGCCTGGTTCATATGAAGTTTCAGGAAAGAACAGAACTGAAATGTACTGAAGAGAAGAGTAACTCTCTCACGCCTCAGCTGTGATGCCCATACTCTTCCTCCCTAAGAGAGAAGGACAGCTAGCAAGCACCCTTCCCACCCCTTCCCAGAGGCCAGGAGAGCAGGTGATGTGATGATTGGCAGGTGAACTCTTACCCACATCCGGTCAACCCTCTTCCTGGTACCTCTGACTCCCACTGACTTTCTACCAGGTGTTGCCTAGCCCAGCTGCTGACCAACATCTGGAACACCACAGATGGATCAACCCATTTAGCTCCCAGGAAGAGACCAACCCACACTCTCTCCTACATTCCTCAGGACTGAGACACTCCAAGGCACCTGCCTGAGGCCCACATGCTGAGGGTGGCTGCTCTCTGAGAGTGGGAAGCAAGCTGCCAGTTTCGGTCTGCACTGATAAGCAGTGAAGGAGATGTGGTCAGTCCCCAGGAAGAAGCAACTCCCAGCTCACATGCTTTTCAATGTACAAAGGTCAGTCATGAAGGCCACTGACTTTATTGAGCTAAAAAACTTTACGAGGACAGTGACTATTCTTGCCAAAAAAGGAGCCAAATGGTATCAAACAGACAGGAGGTGAGGATGGAGGTAAGGGAAGGGGCGAGGAATCCACTCAGGAAAGCTCACAACTTTCACCAGAAAACTGGCAGGGGAAGAAGGAAGGGAGATGCATGCAAGAGTGAAAATTCCAAAAAAGTTGAAATGGTTAGGGGAGAAACTCCCAAAAGACCCTGGAGTACGTCGGAGGTGAGTACAACAACAGCAATCTTTTCCTTTGTAGAGGGCAGGGGAAGAGTCCCTACTCGGCTGCAAACTCTGGAGACTCAATGCTGGGGCTGGGGCTGAAGGGTTCCCCAAAGAGCATCACAAGAAGGCGTCGCACCACTCTCGAAGACATCCAAAGCAGTCCCGCGACTGCTTGGCATTGGCGCCACATGTGTCCTTCAGCCATTCCCGGAAGAGATCTTCATCTTTCTTTAGCACCAGAAACTGGCCAAGGACCACGTAGGCCTGCAAAACAAACAGCATGCTACTAAGTGCTCAGTGGGGCTAAGAGCAAGAAGACCACTTTTGTGGCAGTCAAAGCACCCAAGGGAGGCAGGGTAGGTTTTGCCCCCACCTCCTCTCTACCTCGTGGCCAGGCTCTGGCAGTCTCTTTAGATTACACGCCACTGTCCATCCACCCCCAATAAGATATGCTGAACTTTCCCTCACTCCCAATCTGCCAGGAAATGTCACAACCGCGCCCCCCACCAGCCTTCCCGGGGTACATGCAGCCACCACCTTGTCAAAGCCCCTTTCCTCCAGCTTCTTGCCCAGGACTTCACCAATCCCGGCCAGGCTCCCCACTGGCTTTTCCCCCATGGGCTCTGCCACGAAGTCTCGATGCTTTTGGGAGGTTGTCATCTTGATCAGGCTTAATCTGGGAATCCCAAGAAAAAGCAGGTTAGGGCTGAAGATTCGGAACTCCTAAGGACCCACGAGCAATTTCTTTCTTTTTTTTTTTTTTTTGGAGTCGGAGTCTCACTCTGTCGCCCAGGCTGGTGTGCAGTGGCACGCTCCCAGCCACCGCAGCCTCGACCTGCTGGACTCCGGCGATCTTTCCGCCTCAGCCTTCCGCGCCCTACCACGTCCCGCTAATCTTTATTTATTTATTTATTGCAGAGACGAGGTTTTTGCCAAGTGCCCGACTGGGTCTCGAACCCGCGCGGGCTCAGGCAATCCTCTCACCTCAGCCTCCCAAAGTGCTGGGATGACAGGCTGAGCCACCGGGCCCGGCCAGAGCAATTTCATATGAAAAAGAAGCTCGTCTAGCCATTACGGTAGCTTGCTCGACTCCATTCATTTCACAGATGAGAAAACAGGTTCCGGGAGAAACTAGGCTCCAAAGTTCAGAAGAGAAAACCCTTTTACTTCCTGCGGGACCAGGGGCTTGATGCTGCCCTAGAGGAAATATGATCCTGCCCGAACAGGTGGCGCAAGCGGGGCGGTGGGGAGAGCCCCAGAGTCAGTGGCCTGGGCCCGCCCTGAAGCTGTCACTCCGTGACCTTGGCTGAGTAAAGCAGGCACGGACGCTGCCTGCAACAGGCACCTGGGATGAGAAGCAGGAGAGGGGTCCCTGTGCCAACGCCCTGCCGTCCACCAG